AATCTCGAAGGAACACGATGACATGGATATAATGTCTGGCTGTGATAATGAGCTAGAGGAGAGCTCAGAGCCAGACAAGACAGAGATGCTGTCAAGTAGATGGTCACCCCTGTCTGGATGAGTGGTGTTCAACCTGTTCAGCCTTGCAGCTTGGGCAACAGGGGCACACCTAGGGGTTGGCCAAGCTGGCCTCCGCCAAGGGCTCAGGCCTGGTGAGGTGGTCATGAAAATCATGCCTCTGGGCTCTAGCTCAGAGTGGCTAGGAGCCTGCCCACCCATGCACATGCTCCCTGGGCTGCTCCTCCACTGCTCTGGGGTGGAAAAAACCTGCCATAAATAAGTCATAAATTAAATTTGTTATAAAAAAATTTTTAAAGCCTCTGTAAAATTGCATATTAAAGTTTTGTGTTCTAACATCGCCATCTGGTGTTGCATGTTCATAACATATTTAAAACACTGTTTTTAAACTTATGCAGCTGACTCCTGGGTGGCCAATGTCTCCTTGCCAAGGGCACAAGGGAGCCTAGGGAGGCCTCTGTTTGCAGGTGCTCTTTGATCCATTACCTACATTGGAGGTGCTAGTCTCCTCAATGACATGCACTACCTTTCTCCAGCATAGGTTGATATCCCAGCGATGCTGCTATCTGGCTCCAGGTAACCTGGCTTCTGTGACTCATGTTCTGGTACCCTTCCATTTGGATTACTGTAGTTTGTTCCCGAGGTCCGTTCTTAACCCGAAACCGTTCTTAACTGAGCGTGCTTTCACTAATGGGGCCTCCCACTGCCGCCGTGCCGCCACTGCCTGATTTCTATTCTCATCCTGGGGCAAAGTTCTCAAGCTGAGGTACTACTTCCAGGTTAGCGGAGTTTGTAACACGAAGTGTTTGTAACCCAAGGTACCACTGTAATGCCCTAAGACCAGGGCTTTCTTTTCCAGTTGTGCGTCATTGGCAGACCAACAGTAACGAAAACAGTGAATGTTGATCATATTCCCTTGATGGATTTCCATTTCAGATGTGGGAGGAATAAGTGAACTCCAGCAATTTCTGCTCCCATTTCTGTGTTCATCGGAATTATCTGACATCGCTACTCTCAGGTAGGTATACAGTGGTACCTCGGTCTACTAACAGCCCTGTTCATGAACAATTCAGTCAACAAACTCAAAACTGGAAGTAGGCGTTCTGGTTAGCGAACTTTGTCCTGGAAGCCAAACGGAAGCCGAAAGGTGGAAGGGCACGGATGGTGAGAGGCCTCAGTAGGGAAAGTACGCCTCAGTTTAAGAACGGTTTCGATTTAAGAACAGACTTCCAGAACGGATTAAGTACCACTGAGGTACCACTGTACAGAGGACTGCAGTCTTAATAAATTAAGTTGCACAGGCTCTTTCTTCCCGATGTAGAGAAAAATGTCAAAGGTTGAAGAGACGCTAAATGATTTGCACAAACCATCCCATAAGTGATTTGCTGACACACCAGCAATGTATTTAAGCAGTGTATTTAAGCAGTGATCACATGGCATATTTATTACATAAATTTTTTTTATAATTTATAACATAGGTATTGTAAATGTAAACATTTCTAGGAAAATAATGTTACAGTTTTCATGTTTACAAGTAGAATAAGGCACATAGTGCAAAAAAATACTTTTCTGATACAGAGGTCACAAAATAGTTATCTATATGTGTTAGCTCAAAGGCAGTTAACTGCTCAAAATCCCGTGGTATGACTTAGCCCTTATTTTAAATATCTTTGTGGGTGATATTAGTATAGCTGCCATTTTTTCCTCTACCAATGCTTTACTGGCAGTTGACGGTATTTGGTTTAATTGTCTAGGTTGCAATGCTGATCCATTAAGATGAATGGGGCATTTGTCACAGACTTGAATGGAATGAGGATTGTACCTTTAGCTGGTATTTGGCTTCAACAGTAGGTATCACAAAGAAAATAGAATCGTACTGTCAGGGGTTCGGGAGCAGAGGCACAGGAAAGGGAGGAGATAGAGACCGAGGGGGAGGAATCCGAGGGAGAGGTTAGCGATGACAGCCGCCCTAGGTCTCTAAGTCTTTCCAGTGAATCGGAGGATTCACAGAAAGGGGCTCCCGTGGTCAGAGCAAAGGGGTTGCCAAGGGGAACACCCCAGGAAGGAGGGGCCAGAGGGGACTCAGAGAGCAGCAGTTGGAAATCGGGACCAGCTTCCCCACCAAAGAGCAGTAGGGGGGAGGAGTCCCAGGTATCGGCATCAGGCAGCTCTCCGTCAGCGGAAGGACATGACTCAGGATTGGCCACGCCTGCATCAGAGAGCGAGGAAACGGTCAAAAGGAAGGTCGGAGACTGGGCGCGCGCGCCAAGTTCAAACGTACAAGAGGGTGGCGCAGTGAGCAGCCCGGAAAGGGAGCCAGGTCCTAAAGCCCGCCGAAGGGAGGGGGAAGAGTCAGAGGGGTCCGCGTCCAAAGCGTCCAGGAAGGAAGGGACCCCGGGGGGTAGTAGGACCCAGAGGCGGAAGGAGAGACGGAAGAGGTGGAGTAAGGTTAGAGTCTTAAGCTGGTGTACAGGGGGCGGAGATTCAGACGGAGCTTCGCCGGTCTAGTCTCTAGACGTAGAGACGCACGCTAGGGCTTGAAAATGGAAACTGTACTGCAATAAAGACTTTTGTACATTACTACTGGCTAGCGTTGGTCCTCTGTGAGCTGGGACCTGGAGGCAGTCTCTGACACGTACTATATGCTATACATTCCAAATACCTGAGAACTTGTTATGAAATAGTGTATGTAATTCAATGTAATATTAATATTTGGGGTTTCTGGCAAGTCCAACAACCAGAACACTTCTTAAAGACAAAACTATCCACCTATGTGGAGAAAATGTGGCACAGAGCAATGACTTCCTGATGTGGAAAAAGCAGGACACTTGAACGAGGACCACTAGGAGCACTAGAAATCTAAACTAGATCTCCCTAAAGTTAATGAGCTCTCCTTCCTACATAGCTTCTTGCATGAGAGTTTCAGTGATGCAACAGAGGTTTCCTTTAACATATAGTATGGGCATTCATTTTGAAGTATTTGGGCAATGGTTGTATACTTCCGTGTGTGTGTGTGTGTGTACACACACAACTGAATTAAAAAAACACCCCTATAATATACAAAATTAATTTGTTTTCATAGTACATAGATGAGAGGTAGGATCGCTAACATTAGGTTCAGAACTATGCTGGTTTTCTTTATGTGATTACTTGCTTTTAGCCACAATAGATGTTAACTTTGCTAAGCACGGGCCAAGGAGATTTCTGAAGCTGAGCTGCTATGTCTGTGTAAGTACCAAAAATGTGATGTGAAAAGAGGGCGGGGCACAATGAAGAAAGCTACAGGAACAGTATCAGCAGAAAGTATATTGATATGCACCTATCTGAGATAGATCTGGGGACAAATATAATCCCTGGCAGGGTTTTGCAAAGTTGATCAGTTGCTATCCTAAACCAACTTACTAGAGAGTAAGTCCCAGTGAACCTCGAGGGATTTAAATATGATTAAATATATTTAGGATTATGCTAGGCATTGTATATTTCAACACCTTCCGTGCTTTCTACTGTAACTGATCGAGCCAGCTTAGCAAATGTGAACTCTTTGATTTGTAAAGTAATAAGGATCTTAAGGGACGCAGGTAGTGCTGTGGGTTAAACCACAGAGCCTAGGGCTTGCCGATCAGAAGGTCAGTGGTTCGAATCCCCGCAACAGGGTGAGCTCCCATTGCTCGGTCCCTGCTCCTGTCAACCTAGCAGTTCGAAAGCACATCAAAGTGCAAGTAGATAAATAGGTACCGCTCCAGCGGGAAGGTAAACAGTGTTTCCATGCACTGCTCTGGTTTGCCAGAAGAGGCTTAGTCATGCTGGCCACATGACCCAGAAGCTGTACGCCGGCTCCCTCGGCCAATAAAGCAAGATGAGCGCCGCAACCCCAGAGTCGGCCACGACTGGACCTAAGGGTCAGGAGTTAGTCCAAAGGATCTTAACTTATTCATTTAATAAACAACTTTACAAAAAGCCAGTTCAAGTTCTCTTCTTCTTTTTGCCAGGGGATCGGGTGAGAATGCTCTAGTGCAAGTGAAATGTGCACGAGGGGAGCGCTTTCACAGGGCGATCACATGTACAGTAGCTCGGTTGGTGAGCGCGTGGTGCCGATAACACCAAGGTTGCAGGTTTAATCCCCATATGGGACAGCTGCGTATTCTTGCAATCTAGTTGGACTAGATTGCATATAGGACCTTGCTTCGGAGTCCCAGTGTTGCCCCAAGGAGGACTCTGATTCAGATGATACTCCAGTGTCACACATAAGGGAAGTCCTCTGTACACTGTTTGGCCTGAAGTTGTGGCTCCTCCATCAGCGCCAAGTAGTGGGGGCTGGGCCCCCCTAAATTTGCAATGAAAGGGCCAATCCCCCCAAAAAAAGTTCTGCAGTGGCCTTGCTGAGACTCTGCTATTTGTTACCATTTTCTCTGCAGGTCCCAAGCCCCAGCAGAACAGGATACAGACTGTTAAATAAACATGCCCATTCACTATACATTCAGCCAGTGTGTTCAGACTGCTAGGAAGCTCCAAGAAACCCCGGATCTCAGAGAAATGTATTTATATGCTATGTGCATTTGTAACCACATTTGCCATGTTCATGTCACTCGTTGCAGTTTTATGTGTGCACATATAACACCAAGGGGTCCTTTTTCCTTTTAAATGGGCAAAATGGCTTTAAGAATGTGCCCGGCAACCTGTGGCAGCCTCATAGGAGGTTGTGGGTGTGGCAAGAAGCAGAGTTGCCGATTAACATAGAAGGAGGAGAAGGAATTCAGAGTAAACAAACACTGCAGAGTTGAAAGGGTTGAGGAAATAACAGCACCTTCAATATAATTCTTAAGGACTTCTTCTTCTTCTTCTTCTTCTTCTTCTTCTTCTTCTTCTTCTCCTCCTCCTCCTCCTCCTCCTCCTCCTCCTCCTCCTCCTCCTCTCTCTTTTTCTCTCTAGTTTATTTGAAGTTGGAGACCAGTGTTTCCATTAGGAATGCATTTCCCACAAAATCCTCCACATCTTCCGTATATCTTAGTATCATCCTGAAAAGGACAGAAAATCACTTCATGAGAAGAATGCACTCATAGCTGCCTTGGAAGCAACAGCACCCCCTCGCTGCAGCGATGCGCAAGTTGTCTGAGAACCAGGAAACATGGGAAGGAGATGAAGCAATGACCTGCACGTCCTCTCCTTCTGTGCCATGTGGCAGGCAACTCCAAATCACTCCCCCCACCCCAGCCGCCCTGGCTTAAAACAGGACCTGCTTCTTCCAGATGTCTGCTGCCACTTTCCTTGTTCTCTTGATTAGGAAGTATTCTGAGATTAAGTCTTTACAGCCTCTTCTTCTTCTTTTTTAATGCCTGACACTTTCCAACTCCTTAGTACCTGACTCAAGGTTCCTTTGCTGCTAATTGAAGCAACTGGAGCAAACGCCCCATCCCTGCAAATAATCATTGGTGCAAACAGACTTACTTGAGATTTGTGTATCTGAACTGTAACATAATTTCCCTGAGCGATCCACTTTGCCGTAGGGGATAGCCTCAGCCCAGTGCCTGCCAAATTGATGCCAAACTGCCCCTTTTCAAGTGGAGAGAGAAAAAACATACAGATCGGCTTTAGAGCGTGGCTAGTAATATTGCAAATATTTGTGCAGGTGCGCCCAGAAATGAACAGCAGAAGCGTCAATAAAAGAAAGATGAGACAAGGCGGGCTGAGGTGGGGTGGAGAGGGTATGGGGCAGCATTACAAAAGAGGAGTTAAGAAAGGGGGATAAGGGGGGACGATGTAGCAAACAGCACAGCGGCGTGTAATCGATTTAGAAAATCTTTCTGCTCTAACTACCAATTGGTTGAAAAGCAGATTTTAGCTCCAGAAAAGCTGTCGTATCACCCAGTGAGGAGAAATGTCACACAGTTCCTACCCCAAAAAATGAAGAAACAAGCAACTTAGAAGGCAAATTTCGAGACCGTGTATATAAGGCCCTTAGTATTTCCTCCTTCCTTCCTTTAATTTCTCTCAGTGTGTGTGTGTGTGTGTGTGTGTGTGTGTGTGTGAGAGAGAGAGAGAGAGAGAGAGAGAGAGAGAGATGTATGTGTGAGTGTCAGGTGGGCAGAAACATTGTCAGGTATGTGTGTGTGCTTTTGTTAAGTGTGTCAAGGGGTGTGTGTGCATGCGTGCTCATCTGTCCAGCATTGCACATTTTTGCTCCCCTGCCCCCAGCCCATCTTCAACAGGCACCAGTCGCTACCACGTTAGATATTTGAAATAATAATAATAATAATAATAATAATAATAATAATAATATGTACCCCACCCACCTGAGTGGGTTATCCTAGGCACTCTGTGTAGCTTCAAGCATATATAAAACCATAATAAAACATTACACATTAAAAAGCTTCCCTATACAGGGCTGCCTTCTAAAAGTTGCATCCTAAATACACCCTAAAGTTGGGGAACCTGCCATGGATTAGGGCAGTGTTTTTCAACCAGTGTGCCATGGCACCCTGGGGTGCCTTGAATAATGGTCAGGGGTGCTGTGGGAAACACCAGCCACTGTCCTTCCTTCCCTCCCTCCCTCTGATGCCTCCTCAAGTCTCTGCCTCCCAAAGGCTTGCTCAGCTGTTTGTTGCAGCAGCCCTGGCTACAAGCTCAGCAGGCAAATGGTGCCTCTGGGGCTGGTCTGGGGAGAGGAGAGGAGGATGTTCAAAAAGGGGCTGCCAGCTCTGCAGACAAGGGACTTCTGAGGTTTGGAGCACATATCCCTGCTGGGGAGCCACAGAAAGAATGTAGTTGGTCAAAGGAGCCATGGACGCAAAAAGGTTGAAAAGTTCTGGATTAGGTCAATGCCTCTGTCGTACAACTCTGAAAAAGACTGCCTTGACTCCAACCTAAAGCAGAATTGCTGAAGAGAAGTTGTGAGATCACAAGAGGGCAGTGTTGCATTGCAAACTCCAGCTGCAGTGGGTCAGGAGGGAGGGGGGTCTGCAAGAAGTGGCAAGACAAAGGAAGAATGAAAGAGCAGGTGAACAGAAAGAGGGGATTTCAAGAAAAGAGGGGACAGGGTAAAAAAAGAGAAAGAAACAGGAACAGAATACCTCATGGGATTTGGGTACTGATTTCTGCCAGACACTAGGAAAATTCTCACATCTCTACAGTGCTTGCCAATGGCTGAAAATCCCTCACACTTGCTTGGGAATGTGCCCCATCAAATGCAATGAATGGCAAGCCAAATTCTACAGTCCTTCTGATCATTGGAGTCACTGAGCATTTGAAACAGATAAAATGTGAGAAACCAGCTGCAGAAGAGGCCGAAATGAAATAAAAAGGGAGCAAGCAAGAAAAGGGGGATATTTGGGTATTTAAAGATTTCAACAAAATCAACTATATATCTTGGAAAGCTGTTTGTTCACTCCTTGTTTGGACACTTCTGGAGATACTGGAATCACATTTGGTTCTGAGATCAAAGATTTATTGTCCAGTTGGACACAATTTTCAAACAAGTTGGCAGAATTGACTTTTAAAACCTTCCATGATATTAACCAAATATGGCATGATGGCTCCTGAGATCAAGGGGGAAGGTTGTCGTCTATGTTTGGATACAGCTGGACGCGATTTTGACTCAAGATAGCAGACCGAGCCTTTCAAAACTGCACTGATTTCAAACTGCACTATTATTTTGATTTCTTAGAGTTCCTGAGCAACACTGGGTATGAGGCTGCTAATACTTAATGGATTGGGGGGAAATGCATGACAACGGAAAACTGAGTCCCATCTCTATCCCTGACACGTACCTGTGGGCATCTAGCAGCGCTGTAACAGTCTCCAGCTGTGGCAAAAGGAACGGGCTTCCCAAGTATGGTGTGAGCAAACCGGAAGTCGGTGGCTAGCAAGCAAAAGTGAAAGCTTGTTATGGCCAGCAAAACTAGTTTAATTAATCTTGATTCATGCCTGCGCCATGGAAGGTAAGGTAAAGAACCTATCAGGGCAGGGGTAGCCTTGGCTGCAGTAATCTATTGCCTGGGAAGCTCAGGACTGTATTGAATTGCTACAAGGAGCTTTATGTGGGACTGCCTTTGCAGACTGTTTGGGAAAGCTGTACTGGTTGCCTCTGCAGATCCAATACAAAGGGCTGGTTTTGACCTATAAAGCTCTGTCCATCCCAATATATATTTGGAGCGCCTCTCCTGACATGAACCTATTTGGATCCTGCAGTCTTCATGTGAGGCCCACTGCCCCCTCTGAGGGAGGTTGGGAGGGTGGCAACAAGGGAGAGCTCTTTCCACTGTTGTTCCCCTTCTGATGTTGACATTAGTGCCATTAGGAAAACCATGGAAGCCTCATTTCTGCCTTGATCTGGATTGTGGTTGCTATTTGCAAAAGTCGAGAGAGAGCAGAGATCGGATGGCAAATCTCTAGCATCGCCTTTGCACAGAATGAGAAGAGAGAACAATATGGCCGGCTGCTTTGGAGATGGGCTACACATACAAGCTCACCTCTTGATAGGAGCATCACACCATAATGATGCGCGCATGCGAAAACCTATCACAAATCAAACCCCACCAAGAAGATATTTCATAGAATCTCACATCACCTCCAATATATCATTGTGTAATGAAAGACGGGGGGGGTAGACTTTTTCTTTCAAAAGGGCACTACTGGGAATACAATTTGTGTTTCCAACAGTCACTCAGTCATTGCAAAACACAGTATTATTACATAAAGACTCACTTTTAATCTCCAAAGAACTGAGGTCAATTCTTATTTTCCTAAAAATGGTGTAGCCAGCTGCAGGGTAGTCATCTCTGCACATGCAGTCTTGCCGTCTGCTTCCATTAAAAGGACACTCATATGGATTTTGCAGCCTACAAATAAGCTTTCTTTAGTTTTTGCTTTCATCACAGCAAAGTGCTATTCCATATTAAAAGCCTGAAGAGGGTGAAAACTAATGAGGTTACATTATGCAGCATGGAGGGCTGTATAAACGCCTACAGATTTGCAGCTGAAAGCTGTGAAAACAATCCAGGAACGCTAAATATCTTTTAAGTCCTGTTGATATTATGGAGAGAGGTGTAAGCATGTCCTTAACTCTCACATTAAAAATAAATAGGATTTAGAAATTCTTAACTTTGGCTGGATCATGCCCAGCATACGGAGCCACTGCAGATGCAATGCTTAGAAATACAGTGGTGCCTCGCAAGACGAAAAGAATCCATTCCGCGAGTCTCTTCGTCTAGCGGTTTTTTCGTCTTGCGAAGCAACCCTATTAGCGGCTAAGCGGATTAGCGCTATTAGCGGTTTAGCGGCTATTAAAGGATTAGCGGCTAAGCTGCTAAAAGGCTATTAGCGGCTTAGCGGTTTAGAAAAAGGGGGGAAGCGGGGGGGGGAATCGCAAGACTAGCAAGACGTTTCGTCTTGCGAAGCAAGCCCATAGGGAAAATCGTCTTGCGAAGCAACTCAGAAACGGAAAACCCTTTCGTCTAGCGGGTTTTCCGTCTTGCGAGGCATTCGTCTTGCGGGGCACCACTGTAAGCCACGCTCTGGTTGTGAGTTTTGGTACAGCTCTGGCCAAATAATAGCATGGATTATGGGGGTTGGAGTTTGCTCCAGATGAATTCTGAAACTATTTACACATGCTTAGTTTGGAGCATGCAGGGAGCATGACCATTTTAGATGGCTGTCCAACGTGCCCAGGGAGCCTGCATCTCGAATGTGCACGAGTGCAGAGTTGCCTTTTTATGTTCTGAATGAATGTTGAAGAACCTAGGAATAGGATTTCCTAGGTTCTTCAACATTAATTCAGAACATAACAAAGAACAGACATATAATTCTGCAACTTACATATGAATACAGTATATCTACAAATAAAGAAAGGTTAAAAAATTTTAAATCACAGTACCTATATCCATATACTTCTGAAAAGTTATCTGCTTCCCCTTTAGCCAGTGTTAAATATTCTTTGGGATCCTCTAGCCACATGTCTGAACAAAAAATCTACAACAGAAACATAGAATTCCTTTAGAAAAAGATGGATTTCCTCCACTTATCTCCCCTCTCAGATAAAAGGAGTAACAATACCTTTATCTTTCTTCCTTTAATGTTTAGCAAATATTCCCCATCCTTTCTAATCTTTTTTCTTATCTGGATTTCTTTGCAGCTGGTTATCATCTCACCTAAAAATAGACGTGTCGGGTCATTTTGTGTGTGTGTGTGAATGAAGCATTCCATTGTATCCATTGCACATATCTGAATTACTTACAGTCTTTCGCATGGCAAATCCTTCTAGCTGCAGGTTTCAAATGTGACAGACACAAGTCACTGGGTGAACCACTTTGGGTCATGCATTCTACTCTTCTTCCTGCTGTCCCCTTTCCACAAGGTGCTGAACACTTAAACAGAGATCATAGAAATAATTTAGACAACAACAAACAAGTCAAAGTGGAGGCCACAATTCCTTCCAGGACTGAGGCATCTTAACTTTGCTGAGTCAATACTCACCTGACTCCATTTCCCCACATTCCATGATGCGGCAAGTGGACACGCCACAACATTACATTTATTCATCAGTGGTGACTGAGCCAGTGGGCAATTTCTGTATGCTATTTTCCGAAGGCTGTTGGTATGGCTGCTCCAGGCATTGTGGGCTTCTATGCAGTATGAGGTCTTCTGCTGGTTCTCAAGATAACAACCAGCTGGACACTAAAATAATACAATTACTGTCACAAAAGGCACATGAAGTTAATTGTTATTATACTTGTGAGTCGAGGACCCGCCACCCGATTGAGGATAAGAAAGACACAAGGACAAAGTATATAAAAATTCCTACCAGGCCCCTTGGACAACCAAGGCGACCAACCACAGGTCCATAGCAAGGTCAAAAACATGGAAATGAACTAAAGGGAGGGTGGGTGGGTGATCTGATGAAACCCAGCAGCGCAATGAGAGGGCAATGCTGCCGCTGCCACATTTGAGCAGCTAAGCCCCATCCCCTCAGCTTCCGCCTGATTGGTTGGTTGCCAGGGGGTGCGGCGCGGCAGCTGGGACAGCAGACGAAGGGGCCAGAACGCCCCCTGCTGAAGCGGGAAACGGCTCCCGCTCATAACTCCTCCCCTCTGGAAGGAGGGGAGGCTTTATTGCAACCTTGTTCTATGCATGTTTCCTAGAAGGAAGTCCCCATTTCAATGGGCTTACTCCCAAGAAAGTAGGCATAGGATTTTATCTCTTGGTAGTTCCACCTCCCTCAGAAATTCAGGGAGGCAGCTGCTCTGCAGAAGACATTTTTTGTGAGGCAGCCCCTAAAATCTTTAGGCCACAAAATACAAAACTTTTTCAACAGAAAGAGACGTTCATGTTGGGAAAAGCAGCTCCAAGGCCTGTACACCATAATAAAAGCAAACTGAATTGGTGGAAGCTGAGAGAATTCAAGGAATGTTTTTGAACTGTTAGTAGGAGAGATTCTTTGTACTCCCGTGCTTTTTTAAAAATGCACCTGCTGTTTTCAGGTATAAAATCAGACACCTGGTCACAAATGCAGATATACATACCTGTGAGGAGTCAACTGTAATGACAATATATTTACAGGAAGCCAGTTTGCATTTCTTGCTGGATGGAGGTTTCACACCAGAATCACAGAGTATTTCGTTTACTTGGATCCCGTTTTCATCCACACACCTCACCTTGCGGTATGTTTCCCTTTTTTGACACGAGGAGGAACACTGAAGATGACAAGGACAAATCCTGTAAGATAGACTACATTTCTGAAGCCGAGTTTTTTTCCCCAGAGAAGCCCGTCCCCAAATGTGGCCACTCTGAAAGCAAGTGGAATTCTGTAGCTACTCGTTTATATTAAAGCTTTATATATGATATTAAGTGGTTGGTGCTAAGAGTAACATTTCAGGGTGGGCATCTCATGGAAGCTACATGTTTCATGTCACCCTAGTGGAGAGCTGTTGAAGTTGTTCCTCAATCAGGTATTTGGATTTTCCACACTGGGTGAAATATGTCTATTTCACAGAAGACCGAGAGTCAACGGAATAAGGAAGTTCACATCAAAATCACTTCTTGTTCCCTGTGTGTCATCGTGACATTCAAAGCCACTCAGAGTTGTAAAGGAAAACCCAGAGCAGCGAAATGTATCACTGTTTCAATTTGCCCCATTTACACTATTGGGGCACCCTATTAATGCAGCCATAGAGTCATACATCATAAAGCAACCTTCAGATCTTTCTTCAACAGATCGCCTTTGATCCTTAAAACATGTGTGTCAGTAGCGTTACCACCCACTGCACTTTACGGGCATCTTCATTGGCAGGGACTGAAGTAGACAAACTGGAAATATGTGGGCAAACAGCAGAATGCACAAATAATACACATATGGGAACGGTGTTGCACGTCACCGTTGAAAACTATGACGGTCTTCCCACTGCAAATATTTTTTAACAAGTAGGGTATCTGCAGCCAAACCTGCAGACATCTGTAACTGGTTTAAATAATCTCGAGCAAGAAGCTTATTTCTCGGCCATACTTACATCTTGCCATTCATCAGTCAGCCAGTGATACTGTACACAAGCAGGCAGCCAACAAGGCCTCTTATTAGGTGGTTGCATCAGATAATTACACAGCACTTCATCAACTCTACCGCTGCCTCTCAACCTACAGTAAACATCCCGGTGCTGAACTCCTTCTCCACAGGTCACGGAACACTGAAATAAATAAATGTGCACACACAGACATAGAAAAACCGGGGAAATGGGTGAATGAGACATAACAGGCCAATCCAAACCATATCTGCACAGAGGAAAGCCCTGATGAGCTCAAGGCTGCTTAACCCAAGTATGTATTGTTAGGAATACAACATTCATACTTTTTAATACTCACTAACTCTGCTAGGGTATACGTACTCTAAAATAAATCAATGGGGCTTACACCCAGGTACGTTGGAGACAAGACTGCAGCCTACCTACTTACCTCAGAGTAAGTCCTGTTAAACTCAGAATGACACTTATGAGTAGGCAAGTATAGATCTTTGCTGTAAAACAGCACAGGAAATCTTGCTCTATTAGTGGAAGACAATTGTCAGTTGTGAGCCATTGCACCCACAAGCCATATATGGGGAAATATGTCAATGTCATTTTCTCTGTTTCCCATTTTTCCGATTTTAAATTTAGATTTCCACATCAGTTCATGGTTTTTCCTAGAATCCACATTTTCATGTGCAATTTTGCCCAATATCTACATTTTTTGCAAAGCAGCTTTCCCTAGTATAATGCATTTTATGTTATTTTCAGTACAATATATGTGCCTATATGCACATTTTACCCTGGTTTGTGCATCTTTGTACACATTACTTGGCCGAAAAACTGCATTGCAAAATTCAGGGAAATGTGAATTGTGAAGGATGGCCAAACCTCAGTTTGCAGATCGTTTTGGGAAATGTGGATTAAGTTCACCTTTAAACACAGGCTGAATCAAAATGATCTCCCATCCCTTGTTGTGTAGGCAAAAGTGGAGAGTTCCGGCATTGGAAAACCACAATATATGGTTGTTAGCATGTGCAGGCTTATAAGGGGGGCTGGAAAGCAACTGAGCAAATGTTCTCTTTATTTCCTACCCCGCGTACATGGCATTCATGTAACTGGTAAAGAGGGAATTTATTCACATGCTGATGTCACTTGCCTTCTCTCTCACACACAGAAATCAAAGCCCACATGCTTTCAAGCAGCTTCATCTTACCATTGCCAATGTTTTCCAGACTTCAAAAATGACTGAATCATATTGTTGCCTCCACCCTTTCATTGCATATTTGTTTCATTTTTTTTTAAGTCTGCAGCCTTTTAATGTTAATTCTCCATGGCACATTTCCTAAAATGTGTGCCTCTTGAAAAGGCAGAATATATAGCCTTCTTGTACGTGAGTGAAAAAAGCACATACCACAACTTGTTTCCATTAACTTTATTTGAAAATCGCAGATGGGGAGCTGGAGTTTCTATTCTCCAGACTCATTTGTACCGTAACTATTAACTTTATGGTGATCTGTATGTAAGCATGAAAGGAGAGCAGATCCTCTATACGTGTTTTGCTTTGTAGTCATCTCCATCAATTGCATTCGCTGACGCAAGGCACATCCCACCACAGAATGTTAATTAACTTCAGAACTGCATTGACACAATGCGGCGCAATGAAAAATGATGTGTAATAATTTAGGACACATATATGACCGCATTGTCCTAATCATAAAGGAAGGGCTGTAGATCAGTAGTAGAACATCTTCTTCCCATGCAAAAGGTCCCAGTTTCTATCTCTGGCATCTCCAAGGTAGGACTGAGAGAGACCAGAGACTATCCTGGTGATGATTCAGTATAATGTAGCTTCCTAAGGTCCTATTATGCTTTCACCACATGTTAAAGGAAAAGGTACCCCTGCCCATACGAGCAAGTCTTGACAGACTCTAGGGTTGTGCGCCCATCTCACTCAAGAGGCCGGGGGCCAGCGCTGTCCGGAGACACTTCCGGGTCACGTGGCCAGCGTGACATCGCTGCTCTGGCGAGCCAGAGCTGCACACGGAAACGCTGTTTACCTTCCCACTAGTAAGCGATCCCTATTCATCTACTTGCACCTGGGAGTGCTTTCGAACTGCTAGGTTGGCAGGCGCTGGGACCGAACAACGGGAGCGCACCCCGCCGCGGGGATTCGAACCGCCGACCTTTCGATCGGCAAGCCCTAGGCGCTGAGGCTTTTACCCACAGCGCCACCCGCGTCACCACATGTTATAAGAGAGACTAAAATGAGATGGATGGAAGTGGATGATTGTAGCAGGCTTGCACAGCTTATGGCCTCTCAAAATGACGACAGTTCTTGAGCCAAATGAAGGGCGAAGGAATGGGTTCTGTGCAGTCAGTCTGAAACGGGACCCAAAACCCTCATTTTTCCTCCTCCAAGGGAGCATTTCTAAAATGCATTAACTTGAGCTCTTGAGTCAATGTATAAACAGAAAGCTAGCTGTATAAGTAAGTGCTCAAAGCCCTCTCCTTTATCAGTCCGTAACGGCAATGGATGGCCTTGCCAGTTCCGTGGAGCAGGGATGGCATGTCAGGGTCTTATCTTACATCCTGACCACAAAAAGACGCACCGACCTTGTCAGGTCTGACAAGAGACCTGGGAACGGTGCCAGGAGTGTTCTTAGAGTTGGTGACCTCCTGCCCCAAGATAAGAGTATAGGAACAGGAACAACCTTTTATGGTCAAGAGTACCGGAACAGGAATATTTGTTTATGGTCATGTATGTCAACTTGCGTGTATGAGCTGACGTGGTTGGATTCCTGGGGAAGGGGGGAGAGGGTGCCTGGAGGATATATATACTGCATGAAATTTCTCATTTCTTTGGACTTGCTGTGGACTGACCATGCAAATGCCTTCTGCTATCCGGAGAGCAGAATAAACTCTTTCTCTGAATCAACCTCGGTGTCATTTGACCTCCTTCCTCCCTCCCGGGAGCAACGCAGACCCCACCAGTTGGTAAAGTCTAATAAGGCTACACAAATATTGTGGCCTGCTCGGTGTCTGACAACCCATGCCAGCCCAGGCAGACCCCCAAATTCAAGAGGCCTTATTGAGCGGCTGGTAAGTTACTGTCTATTGTTGGCTCACTGTGTTCAGCCCAGTGGTGTGCAAATTGTGCATTTCTGAATTATAGCAACGGTGTTCCAATGTGTTCAGAATGAACCTGTGGCTCCCCTAGTATCACAGATTTGCCACTTTTGTGAAATATTTCTGAATAACTGGCACCACACAATACAAGAGAATACTGCCTAGTGAAGGTTAAGCACTTAAAAACTTCATTGATTTCAGTGGGAGAGTTAAAATCCAGTCAAATCCTGTGTTTACTCAGGATTCTTCAATGGGGCTTATTTCCATGTGACTATTGTGTCCAAATAATGGTCTAAGAAAATTAAATGCTGTAGCAAAACTGGATTGGTACCCCAACTTGGAAGTGTCTTAAATTCTTATTAAAAATGTATTTGTTGTCCGTCTGTCCCCGGACATTTCCCAAGTGTTATTTTTTTAGACTGCACTGCTTCGTGGTTTTTTTGTATTTTGTTCCTTGAGTTTCATTGACAGTTTGTATTTTCAGTTAATTTGTATTCTATTTTATGCTGCTGTTGTTTTACCTTGTAAAACTCTAAGAGCTTTTTAATATATTAATTGGTCCATAAACTGATTAAATAAATAAATAAATAAATAAATATATAAATAAATAAAGTCATTAGACAGTAGATTGGACCATACGAGCCAAACTCTACTGGGTGGACCACAGTACAAAAAACTTAGGTACTATATTTCATTGCAGAAGGTATGACCTTCTCTCTGCTGCAGAACTGTATCGTGACTTGGCTGCAAGACTGAAAAATACCTCATTCCACTTGTTGGCCTTCCATCCAGGACATCGGGCAGCTCTGCAAACTTTGTGGGTTCGAGGCTTCTTTAAATGCTGGCACATATTATCCCCTAGTTTAATTTGGAAGTTGTTAACGCAATATATGTCGCGATCCTTTACACCCTTCCCACAGGATACAGAGCACTGTAAAAGAAAGAAGAATCAAACATTCTCAGCTGTTTGACTTTAGAACGACATTTTCATAGCAGAAGCATGGCCAATTATTGGTGCAAATATTGCATGGCAAAGAAATGCTGCTATGCTGAATCAGGTCCATTTGGGCCACAATCATACACCCACTTAAGGGAGAGGGCCCTATTGAAGATAGTGGCACTTACCGTATTTTTCCCTCTATAACACGCAGATTTTTTCTCCTAAAAAGGAAGGGGAAATGTCTGTGCGTGTTATGGAGCGAATGTGTGGTCCCTGGAGCAAAAAAATCAGACAAAAATCAAATCACGCTTCACGGAGAAGGGAAACCTGAAAAGAGGAAGTGGTTGCTTTCCTGCATTCTGCCTCAGGGTCTTACTGCCCACCCTCCTCTGTTTCGTTGCTGTGTTTGCTCAAACGGAACAAAGAGCAGGGAAAGCCCCTCCCCTCCAGGCAAGAAGAGGGGAAAGCAGAGTCGTTCCTTCTAATTCCTCTCTGTGCTCCGGTGCTGCGTCTAGGGACTAGCAGGCAACATGCAGGTGGGGGACAGAGAGAGAGAGCTGGCTGGTTTGGGTGCTTGGGTGGGGGAAAACTTTTGCCTTTCTTTCCTCCCTCCCGTTAAATCCCTCTCCTGCATTCTTAGCCAGCAGCTTCTCTGCACACCCCTCTCATGCTCCTTTTCCCTTCTTTGTTTTTCCTTCCCTCCCCACTTAAAATGTGGTTACAAAGCATAGATCCACATGGATCCTCAGGATCTTTGCATAGGGTCACCCCAAATTCACCATCAGATCACATAGCATGTCCAAAAACGTGGTTAAAAAGCATGGATCCATATGGATCCTCAGGATCTTTGCATTGGGTCACCCCAAATTCACCATCAGATCACATAGCATGTCCATGGCTACAGCCTGCCCCCCAAAAATCACACACCCACTGTTGCCTGGGGCTGCAATGGTGCAAAAACGTGGTTACAAAGCATAGATCCACATGGATCCTCAGGATCTTTGCATTGGGTCACCCCAAATTCACCATCAGATCACATGTCTGTGGCCACAGCATGAAGCACAAAAATGATACATCCACTGTTTCATTCAGAATGTTTTTTCCCTTGTTTTCCTCCTCTAAAAACGATGTGCGTGTTATGGTCAGGTGTGTGTTATAGAGCGAAAAATACGGTACTCGTGAACAAACATTCATAGGGTTCTACTGTGTGGTCAGCCATGTGAGTCTTGAAGTTCTCAAACAGGACATGTTGGCCAGTGATGCAGTTACACAATTTTGGAGTCCAGACTTAACAGTCTTACAGAGCATCTCTGTGTCTTGCTTTCCTTACTTTGAAGTCAGCCCTGCAGTGTTTGGTGGTCCCCCTGCTCACTCTGCTAAGTGGGTCCTCCTCTGATTCTACCCTCAAGTCCTGACGTGGCACTACCACTGATGTTGACAGTGACCACGTCCTGTTCTTTGTTCCCATGGCCTGGCACCCAAACATTCCATTTTGCTTACGTGCTTAATAGCATGTTGATGTATCTATCCTCTGTGTGACCATCCATCTCTGTATGCTTCGTTACTCTGGTTGTCACCAGTCTTATAGTGGTGAGAGGATATCTTACTGGAAAGTCAGGTGGGGTTAATACCAGAGTTGGTCAGTACCAGAGCACCCTATCACTAACAATTATCTTCCTGTTTTCTGTTGTCATGATCTGCCCTGGGCTTGGCAGACATTTAAATTTCCCACATTGGCAGAGTGACACTACTACATGGTGGGCCATAATGGGAACTTAAAATAGCAGCTAGACCCAAATACTCAGGCCAGCTAAAATAAGTCGGCAGGTAATGCTTTGTCTGGTCATTTGTAGTTGTGTTTAAGATTTACCTTCAGCAGCCTTACTTTCCCCAAAGCAAAAATTAATACAGTTCTTATTTTCAGCAAATGGAAACATTTCTAAGGCTACTAACTGAGACTTGCATTTTATATCACTGTATCTAGCAGTGTGCCTCATATATTTCTATGGAACTTACATATAGACTGTATGGTGGAACTTGCCTATAGTTTTACCGAAAAGTAGGATTTACTTTGCTGTAAATACAGTTAGGACTAGGGATGTCAGTGTATTTGTTTTCTTATGCTAAACTTTTGACACTAAAGGCTTTGTATTCTGTTACACTTTGAGGGTATTCTAATGAGGGGAAACGACCCATGCAAAGGATATTTGATATTTCCTGCAAGGTATTCTTTTCTCTTATCCGAGCCCTTGAGCATGAGGCGACAGAGAACCTGCCACTTTTGCAAACCTTATCATTATAAAGGCATTTCAAAGAGCCAGTTCTGGAAGGATTAAGTATCAAAGGACCCCAGTGATAAGCTCCACATTAAAGTCTTTACACTGTAAACAGAACTTGATAAATGGTGGCACTTAAGTAAGGCAGGTGTTTGAAAGAGACACAACATATTTTCTATTTTCTCAGAAGGCTCATCTTTTTTTTTTTTAAAAAAAAAGGTTCACTTATACTGTAAGGCAGATCTAATCATTTAATTTCTTTATCTGAAGTACCAACATGAAAACAGATCCAGTGTCAGTGTATTAGGATGTCCTCCCTCAGCGGTTCCCATTTCCCCAATATGAGCTATTCCTCACCAGACACTTTACTTCCATTTTACCCCTGTTTCCGAGGTCTGCGGTTTCCAAACAATATTCACCGAAGGCAACAGTGTTAAGGTAAGAATGTTGTTCTGTACTTTACTTTCGTAGCAAGGCAACATGCCTGGTCTACTCAGTGATTAGTAATCAAAAATTAAGGGTGCAATCCAGCCACAGCTAAGCACTTTTAAGCAAGTCCTTTTTTTCAGCAGGAACTTTCCAGAAGTCAGTTCCAGCACCTCTCAGGTGAGCACCATTGGCATTATAAGAGAGCAAGGGGGCGTTCATGGTGAGTTCTGGCACCTCTTTTTCCAGAAAAACAACACTGCTTTAAAAGCATCATCAGTTTCAATGGAATAATTAAGCCAATGCTGAACTCTTTCCATTTGAAATCAACAGGATTTGCATTAGAAGGATAATGCTTACAGTGCCAATATAAAAAGGCAGACGGCTGCTCATTAGTAATTCATACAGCTGCTTGTTATAAATGTATTGTTTGAAATGTAAAGATATAAATGCTTTAATTGTGACCTGCTGAATCCCTCAAATGTATAACGACAGCATGCAAAATAAAACCAATGCTGTCTTTGATCAAATGGCCACCAGTATTGCTTGCAAGGAATATGGGGAATATTTTGTTGTTTGCAAAATGTTCATTTTAAGTTGTGCTCGTATAGAATAACACAGAACAGGATGCAGACAATATATACTATAGAAGATGGTGTTTGTGCAAGTGTGTTTTATGAAGTCACTGTAGTAGGTTTAGCTTCTTAAGAGGATTTCTTGATAATGGTCAATGAAGTGTCAATTAATGTACAATAAAATAATGACAAAACAGACAATGTATAGAGTGGAAGTTAGTAATTCAGAAAGGATAAAAGGAAAAACATTAGCTGTACATTCACATAGGAACTATAAAACTAGTAATGGAAGGAAAGCAACAAGAAGCGCAGCAGCTGTGGAAAAAACATTAGGAGTGGGGAAAGTACCAAATGTATGATTTTAAAAAAAATCTTTCTTGGCTTAGTTTGATAATGTGACAATAGCTTCACTGCTTAATAAAAGTTTCAAAATATACATTCAAGAGAGTATTGTACTCTCCTGAATGGGCAAGTGGATTCATCTGCCTTGCATAAAGCAACTGGTCTATTGCGACAAGCTGATGCCTGAAACATATTGGGAATTAAAATTATCTCTTTGTCTACTACACAGATGGTGCCAGAGGGCAGGATCCATCAGAGTTGTTCTGTCAGCACAAGAACTCCAGAGCAGATTTGGGGGAGGCATGGGGTGTGAGGAGAGGGAGGAAAGTTCTGTTGTGTAGACAGAAATCTTTGTGCCAGCGGAACGACTTCACTGGATACTGCTCATGGTTTTTACATATATAAAGAGCCCTTAAGTGTTAAGATACTTATTTGATGAAAAAGCTAAAGGCCAAAGACTCATACTCCAGTGTTGTTCTCTACTGAATTTTACTAAAATCTATGGGATTTGTTCCTTACACATAACTGTGCCCGACTGTGCCTCTCTATTATTAACTTTGAACTAGTGATGCTCCAGTACTTTGGCCACCTCATGAGAAGAGAAGACTCCCTGGAGAAGACACTGATGCTGGGAAAGATGGAGGGCACAACGAGAAGGGGGCGACAGAGGACGAGATGGTTGGATAGTGTTTTCGAGGTTACCAGCATGAGTTTGACCAAACTGCGGGAGGTAGTGGAGGACAGAGATGCCTGGCGTGCTCTGGTCCATGGGGTCACGAAGAGTCGGACACTACTAAATGACTAAACAACAACAACAACAGTGATGGGTGAGCCACCTTTGGCTCGGTTCACTTCAGATTGGCTTGGAAAGAAACTGAGTTATCTCCTCCCAGATAGGGTCCACTCCCAACCTCCGAGTCACTCAAACTTATCTTCCGCTGGTACCTCAAAATCACCCCCACCCACTTATCAGGCCGCAGTTTTCAGGTGGCAGTATTTATTTCCTGTCCATCTGGCTTTGTTTCCCCAGCCTCTCTGGGCGGCTTCCAACAAAATATTAAAATACAATAGTCTATTAAACATTAAAAGCTTCCCTAAACAGGGTGCCTGGTAGTTGTTTTTCTCTTTGATATCTGGTGGGAGGGCGTTCCACAGGGCGGGCGCCACTACTGAGAAGGCCCTCTGCCTGGTTCCCTGTAACTTGGCTTCTTGCAGCGAGGGAACCGCCAGAATGTACCACATTAAGCTGTAGGGAGCCTGACAGAAGGGATGCCTTTCCTCCCTATTGCTCTGCTCTTGAGACTTTTGTGTGATATGTAGCACGGTACCAGACCAACCAAAAGGAGCCTTTGGGGATGTAGTCTGCATCTCT